TGTTCATATTATTCGTGGTTAGGTACTAGAAAAGTGTTTTTTTACCTGCATAGTGTTAAATCTTTTACGGTGGTACGGAACCCTTCAAGCGCGAGTTCAACTCGCACTTGGCCGGTTTTTTCATCCTAGTCACAATATTTTCTTGCAAACCACACTTTTCTTTTATAAAAAATCTCACTCTATAATTCAGTCAGCTCTAATGGCCTTTAATGGCCGCATTTCTACAGCATTAATTTTACTTTCATGCTCCTTCTCACGCATACAACATTTAATACACTAAAAAAGTTAACTGCTGAACATAGGACTCCTCCATAGATTGCCTAATGGGGAATTCTGCCACACTTACCACGCTTGCCGGGTGGTTTGGCAGCCGCAGTTGATTATTTTCTGTTGTGATCAGGAAAATGCTGCTGCCCATCTCCTATTTCAGTACCCTTTTATTGTTGGTGTAGTGGTTATAGTAGTGCGACTGCTGATCATGAGGTCCCGGTTTGGGCAAATGGGGCCAAAAGAAATCGGTTGTTTAGCTTATCCATCAAGAAATTTTCAGTAGCTGCCCGGAATCAGGAAGTTGGCGGTATCTCAATCCCGTGCCTCGGAAAGCACGTAAAGCCGTTGGTCGTGTTGGTTTACCGTCTCATCGGGCTATTGGAGTGAGGGAATAGAGTTCACCTGTGCTTAGGCATATACTTGGGCACTATTATCCTGTCCTGCGCAGATAGCTAGTCTCCATCGAGGCTGACTGCATGACATTATTATTTTTCCTCTATCGCTTCTTACGACATCCACGGGATGATATGCGGTAGTAGATATTCTTTCCCTGCCATTACACAGCAATTAAATACCCAGGTTTTTAAAATCATTTATCGACCAAGTAACCTAACCAATTGACTCTTTATTTTCAGACCCTGAATTTTGATTTCAACTCTAAATCTATCCAATTGAACTCCAAAATTTAATTACGGGCTTAGCTGCATCTCATCTCTTGTTTGTTATATGTGTTTAATTGAATCTCCTGATTTTATGAGTGTCTTCAATTTTATAACTTGAAAATAAGCGCAATAAATAAAGAAACACTGTTAATACAGCATCGTCAATAAAGTCTGCTTTAGTATTTGGAATAAAAGATAAAACGGCTTAAATACCGCTATCGATAACGTGAATTTAAAAAAATACTAAAACAATACCTAATATTTAAATTAAAAAAAATGGAAAAAGTTGAACAAAACGGTACTTTTAGAGCACTCGTTTGCAGTGCTTTAATGATTTTGATCCGATATTGTTGCTCTCAAAAGTTTTGTTTGTATAGGTACTTAAAAATTTAAATGTTTTGTATTGAATACAAATTATTTTTCATAACAACTGCTTATTTTCAGTATAATAAGCACAATACTCCTGTATTCAAACTTCTGATCGGGTTTGAACCCAGGAGTATTCAGTATTTTACTGTCTCCGAAAGATTGCACTGCTCCTCAAAATGTTTTTTGCACGGAAGCATTATATTTTAGTACTGTAAGGCAATGGTATGCATAATTTTGCCGTGGCTTAGTTTTTGACGAAATTCGTGAAGGTTAACTTTCAACTATGTGTACTGAGGATTATATTATTATAATTATATAATATTGCTATAATAATATAATTGAAGAAAACCGGTGCATTGGATATGAGATTTAGGGACATTTGGGTATTGGTATGAGCCTTATTAAAAAAAAATACTTCAACACATAAAAGTTAGGAAACCTTGTTGTCACTGGATTCCTCATGAATTTACCACGGATTTAATCACGGACGTAAATGCTGTGTATTAAATGTGACTGAAGATAAATCATGGATATATTGTTACATTCCGGAAACAATGCAACAGTCTTCCGAATGGATGATATATCGCTCCGACATATATACATATATATATATATATATATATATATATATATATATATATGTATTTTTTGTATATGTATTTATTTATATATATATATATATATATGTATATATGTGCATTATGTTAATATATATTCAGTTATACGTTTGTATATAGACTTTCTGAACCTAGTACTTTTTACACTTGCCTCTTTTATCTCTACACTAGTCTAAGGTAGACTGATAGATAATGCCACAGGCATTACGTTCGTCTATATTCACTTCAGTTCGAGACTTTCTGAAGTTAAATATATATATATACAGACATATATACATATATTAAATGTAAAGTCAACTAAGAACGCTGAGTTGATTCTGACATTTTATTTTCAAGAAGTTTTCGAACTTTGGAATGCATGTAATAACATGTAAACATGTAATATTTATTCCACTTTTGCTCGTGTGAAATCGCGGGTACAGCTTGCTAAGAATAAAGTAGCCGTTCAACATAGCTCACGTAATACGTGCTGGTCCTAACTACATATTACTTAGTGTAAGGTAACGAAACTCATTAAATGATGCCACCAAAAGAGGTTAAGGTACGCATACTAACAGCAACTCTCCATTATACTTTTTACTTACTGACTAATAAAACTTAACATAATGCTTTTATTGCCAACTGATATCGTTTTTCCGTAAGGTTTCATGTATATGAGATGATGTGAAAATATGCACAGTCATAACGAAGACATGCCATAAAATGTCATAAGAATAATTTAAAGCTTAATATTAACATTTTATACCATTGTTCATTATAATGTCTTCTAGACCATATTTCGGCCACGACGGCCAGTTTCACCGGTGACCACGCAACTGCACAGTACAGAATTATCCTTGTGTGTGTGCATGCACAGGTGCACTCAATATTACCTTACTCTAATAGCCCAACGAGACTGCAATCTCACACAAGCACACGACTGGAGGGATTAGGCAAAAAATCAACGGCTTTACGTGCTTTCGGAGGCATGGGGATAAACATCACCAACTTTCTGAGTTAGGAAAGATAGTTGTGTTAACCCCAATGCTGCTACTATAAATTTCATGACAGAAAAACGCAATAGCTGGTTTCGAACCCGGAACTTGATTTATAATTGCATTTACGATCACTAAACCAACAAAGCAGCCTAATATATTGAAGCAGTCAGATATTTTCAGTATAGATCATTAACTGGTCAGTCCCACACATATTTAATTAGGAAATTGTTGAGGTTCCTCGTTATTGTAGTGCATTTGCTTTAGTTGCAGGTGAAAGAGTGGATGATTTTAATCTCAATTTCCTGAATGAGGAGGCCCAAAGATACGCTACAGATGGTAATTGAATAAGTGTAATCCACTCTCTTCAAAAAAAAATCTCTCTTATATAAAATCAAAAATTTTGCATAACTTACTATAACTTTAAATAAGTAATCCTGTAAAAATTTTGAACAAACTTACAACACCACTGACATGAAATAAATAATGCACAATATAATATATAAATAAATGGTTTAAATAATATTTTCAATCCAAACTACATACAGGAAGCTTCACTGATCCCTATTAAGAAACTAGGATCTGCAAATATTTGATTTTCCAGGAGAGCGCTTTGAAGTTTTGTTTGTTGATATAAAGATATTTTTTTTTTTTTTTTTATAGAATAGGGGGCAAACGAGCATGCGGCTCACCTGATGTTAAGTGACTACCGCCGCCCATGAACAACCGCAACACCAGGGGAATTGCAGATGCGTTGCCGGCCTTTTAGAAAGGTGTAAGCTCTTTTCTTGAAGGTTCCATGATATATCATGATATACTGTAAAGTCTAATGTCTGAAATTTGAATCGTATGTACTTCAGAGAGGTACCTTTTTATTTGCATATATTTTTATATATTTACGTATAAGCAGAGAAAAATTATATATGACACTATTGAACGTCAGTTTTTTTGAAAAATCTTCTTCCTTAGCCATCCCAACTGCAACGCGTTATGTCGATTGTGCTAGTTACTACATATTTGCTTGGACTTCATCATTATTATCATCATTACAGCCTTTCACAAGTCCACTGCTGAACATAGGCCTCCCCCAAGGAATGCCACAAAGCACGGTCCTGAGCCACCTGTATCCATCGACTTCCTGCATGTCTTACCAGGTCGTCACTCCATCTAGTGGGGGGACGGCCTACACTTCGCCTACCGGTACGAGGCTGCCTTTCGAGAACCTTTTCTGCCCATCGGTTGTCGGTTCTTCGAACTATATGGCCGGCCCATACGTTTATTCAAAACCTATCTGTAAGGTCATAAGTAATGTATTTGTATATATATATATATATATAGACACTATGTTTCACTGAGTTATGGTGGCAACGGTTAATAATTTGGAGAGGAATGAAAATTAGAGACTGGTCAAACAACAAGTTCTGTTCACTTTCACAACGTATTTATGCTAACTCGTTATTACACGTTATTTCCGTTAAGAAATACAGAGTTGAAAAAGATTATGCGATATGATAAATTGTCTGCAGTCGCATGACGCTCAATCGGCAAAAAGCCTGACGCTTTCACTGCCTCCCCTTTACTTTTCATATCTTAATGAATGAAAAGATTTACACAAACTATTGTATAAAAGCGACACTCAGCGGAGTGTCGCTTTTAGGCTGTTATTTATAAGCTTGGGGCAATAATACAAATGCAAATCCATTTATTCTCAATTACGAATCAAAATCCAGTTGTCGCCCCTGATAATTAAGATATGGAATTAATCGTTAGCAGTATATAGGGTTTCCGTTTCACAATTGTAACAGTCAGTACAAATAAAAGAAGGTAGAACTAAACGCACTAATTTTATTTTATACTTGAATAAAAATCTCGGCAGAGTTTCGTTTTATCACGAGCGGTAGTGTGATCACTTTTTTAAAATGGAGCTTGTAAGACACTATATAGCACTACCCCACACCAGAGACATCCGGTGGTTAGAGTGGTGGCTTCCGCTTGGCTTGGCTAGGATTGGCTGGCTTGAATGGTGCGCTGTGATTAGCTGTGGCGGTGTGGCGTAACATTCGGCCGTCCTGAAACAACAATTGCTCCCGCAATGGGAGAAAGCTTGGTTAACTTTCTAGCAGGTCAATAAGGTCTTCGGTTTCCAGTTGTTCATCAGAACTGCTGGCACTGTCAGATATGGGAACCGTACTGTGATAGGGCCTCAAGGAGTCCGCTGCAACAAGGCCTGTGAAGGCCCTGTAGCCTCGGAGTCCCTTAATACTTCTGATCCTATATCTGTCATTACCCAACACCTTGATTACGATATATGGACCCGAGATGACGTCGTCAAGTTTAGTGTTTACCTTCGACGTACTGCTTGTTGGTGCTTGCCGCCAAAGAACTAAATCCCCCTTTTTATAGACACGGCTTGTTTTGCGTTTCTTGTCAAAGTTACGTTTCATCCTATCACTCGCTAGTTTTAACTGTTTACTAGCTTTGTTACGCCTAACGTCCACTGGCTCACTAACACTTCCATTGCCAACGATGTCACAACGTGGCCTGGAGCTTTTGGAAAACATCAAATCATAAGGTCTGTAGGTTGTACTTTCATTCGCGGTATTATTAATACCCCATAGAATATTAGGTAAGCTGTTCGCCCAGTTATTTGCAGCCTCGCTAGCATCTGTGGCACGCAAGGCATTCAATATGGTACGGTTAGTGCGTTCCACTTGACCATTCGCTCGCGGCCATGCGACGGAGGTTAAGATATGCCTAAACTGTTTATCAGATGAGAACTTTTTGAAGTATCTACTGGTAAAAGCCTTCCCGTGGTCACTTACAAGTTTATCGGGGTATCCGAATAAGCTGAATATTTTTCTGAGTGTTCTAATGGTTTCCACCGAATTGACTGTTCGAGTTGGCTCAGCAATAAAAAATTTAGAAAAGGAATCTGTTATAACCAGCATATACTGATAGCCTTTAGCTGTCTTGCAAAAGGGGCCCAAGTGGTCGACATGAATCATGATCATGGGCTCTGTGGGTTTGGGAATAGGGAACAATTTTCCTTCCTTTTTACCATGACCACTCTTACCATAAGCACAATGAAGGCAAGCAGTAACATACTTTCGAATAAAGCGAGTCATTTTTGGAAACCAGTAGTCTTTTTTTATTAAGTCTATACACTTTTGGAAACCCACATGTCCTATGTCATCATGGTGCATTTGGACTAGCCTCCATCGAGCTAATGCTGGCACTACGAGACGATTACCATGCAATGTCTTTTTATACAATCTATCATCTGAGAATACATAACTATTGGATATTTCAATGGCGGCTGAGCCATCCCTAAGCTGATCAATGATTCGCTTCAACTTGTCATCCTGATACTGGACGGTATAAAACCAGTCCGACACTTCAAGGCGATTCACATTCACAGTATCGATTGGATTCCTACTTAACGCGTCTACATGTTTCATTCTCTCTCCGGGTCTATATTCTACACTCATATCAAAATCTTGGATTGACAGCCACCACCTGGCTATACGCGGGATAATGTCACGTTTAGTTAAGGTGGCACGAACAGCCGTACAGTCAGTCACGATCTTAACATGTTTGCCTATGATGTACACCCTAAATCTACGCAACGATTCGACTACCGCGAGAGTTTCGAGCTCGTAGCTATGATACATGCTTTCTTCCTTACTCGTTACTCTACTGAAATACATAACGGGGCGTAATGAATTATCAGTTTGTTTTTGCAACAAAATGCCTGCGATACCTGATTTGCATGCATCCGTGTGAATCTCCGTCGGTAATGCGGGGTCGTATAAAGCTAGTATGGGTTTTGTACACAAACACTGTTTTAATAGTTCAAAACTATTAGATTGTTCACGGCCCCAATTCCAAGCTGCGTTTTTCTTTGTTAAATCGGTCAATGGGCGGGCAATTATTGCGAAATTTTTAATAAATTTACGGAAATAACTACATAACCCAATAAATTGACGTATCTCGTGAACGTTACTAGGAGTGGGAAACTGTGACACTGCTGCCAACTTAGATTCACCCGGTTGAATGCCACTCGGTGTAATTTCATGTCCTAAGTACGTGATTTTATTTTGTAAAAAGGAACACTTACTCATGTTTAGTTTTAAATTTTCTAATCTTAATTTATGAAGTACCTTCTCTAAAATATCTAAGCCCGACTGCACATCGAAAGATGGCAACAACAAATCATCTAAAAACGCTAACGCTTCATAGTTGTTCGAAAAATTATTGCAAGTTTTCGTACTACCGTCTTTTGAAAAGTTATTGGAATTTCGTAATGAATCTACGATTTTGTTTATAAGTCGCATAAAAACTGATGGTGCATTAGCCAGGCCAAATGGGACACGCGTATATTCAAAGTGCCCCTGTGGTGTGATAAAAGCGGTTTTGTGTATGTCTTCCGGATCAATTTTAACCTGATGGTAACTTTGTGCTAAATCAAGACTTGTGAAGAAATTCTTGCCGGCTAACTTTGAAACCTGATCATCGATATTGGGCAACGGATACCTATCTTTGACTGTAATAGCATTAAGTGCTCGATAGTCAACACAGAGTCTACTATCGCCGTTCTTTTTCTTTACAATGATAACTGGAGAAGCAAAACATGACTCGGACTCTCGGATTATACCTGCGTCTAATAATTCAGAGACTTTAGACCTAACTATCTCCTGCTCACTATGTGACAAGCGGTAGGGTTGGCGGTATATAGGTTGTTCAGTTGTCAATTTTATTTTCATTTTTAATAAATCTGTACATCCCAAGTCTTGTGTTTTATTCGCAAAACAGTCACTGTAATTAGTCAATAAAGTAATTAAACTATCATGATCATTTTTATTTAATGGACCCGACTTAATATCTTCTATGTTTATTCCCCCAATAGTGCTAACGTTTGCTAGGCTAGTATGCAACAGAGATGCTATAGAGTTGCTATAATAATCATTATTGGCTTTGGCTACGGAAGTCGATGGCAAAGTGTAATTTTTAGGGCTAACCTGAACTTCTGGTTGCGGTGCGGTGACGCAGCTATCTGCTCTGGTCAGCACCTCGCCTTGCTCCCAGATGATGTTTTGAGCTCCATTGTTGATGACTTTGATGTACCCGACGGTGCCTCGTAGCAGAGTGGCAGGAATTGAGTACGAAACACCTCGTAGCTCATAATGTTGCGGCGTAGTGACGACATTGTTATCTTCGTCATTATCTATCACGTTGACCTTGATGATGGAAAGTCCAGGCAATAGACGCTCTTTCTCTGTAGTGACGACCTTAAAGCGAGCGCGCTCTTCAATCACATCCATTTGCCTTGTAAAGTCGATATCTTGTTTGAGAGTGGCTTTTCCTTCCCTGACCTCTAAGACCATTCCGTCGCTGTTGATGATGGGCTGTCCAACCAAAAGATGGATGTTCCCCATATCCACGTCTGTTAAATGAGCCTTGCACGGGATATGTATACCATCGATTTCTAGTTTAAAACCTACCTCTCCGCAGCTGGGTAGATGTTCTCCAGAGAATCCCTTTAGGATAGTGCTGGTCGGGTTGATTTTGAGATCCAATAGTCTCGACACGTGGGTAGATAATACATTTACTTGGCTGCCGGTATCAATATAAGATTTAACGTGAATGCCATTGATCTTTACCGCTTTTTCGTAAATCTTGTTGTGATTTTGTAAAAGTTTAATTTCTTTAACTTTATCATCAGCCAGTAGCGCAGGTTTCGGAGTGATTCCGCAGCGCGTAGCAATGTGGCCTTGCTTGCCACATTTGAAGCATGTTCGTGAATCTGGATACGGGCAGTTACGTAATATGTGGCCGGTCTTCTTACAGCGCGGACACGGGTCAATGTCAGGGTTAATAGGCGTGTATTTTTTATCAATTACCTGTCGATCGTAAGCGTCTTTACTTTGCACACGTGTTCTAATTGACGTTGACAGCGGTTGATAATCATCCAGCGCACAGAGAAAGCCTTCATATAATTCTTCGGGATGCTCGCACTGATATGCTCTCGCATTCGCTTGAAGTGATGATGGTAGACCACGAATGATGCAGGAGACTGTTGCGCTGTCAGACAACTTACACTGGAAGCACATGGCCACTTTGTCTTGGTAGTATTTCGTCATCGATTCCGTTGGTAGTTTCTTTCGGCTCATCATCTCTTCTAACATGTTCCCGAAATCGCGATGTTTGGGAAAAGCACGCGTCAGCATCTGCTTCCATTCTTGCCAGGAATAATCGTAGTCATCAAGCCGATTGTACCATCGTCTGGCTTGACCTCTTAGTCTATGCTGTAAGTAAAACGACTTTGTAGTTTCGCTCCAGCCATGAATTTCGCCTAGTTGATCTATTTTCTTGAGCCACGCTGTTGCGGTACTACATTCTTCATTATCGGGGTCGAATTCTGGAATAAGTGAGGCTGCACGGTGTTCTTTTCTTGTCGTTACGGAGGGTAATTCTTCGTCTAGCTCTTGCATTGCCTTTTGTACTTCGGTTTCCAATAGTCTTCTAAGGATTTTCCGGGCCGGAGGAGTGTCTGGTGGTGTGACCTCGTCTTCAGTGTCGCTTTTTTCAGATGAATCTTTACATGGTGATTCGCTCGACTCTTGAGGGCGGACTTTATTGCCTTTTCTTGGCATTCCGACGCGATGACGCTTCATAGTTTTCACTTTTGATCCCACTTCTGAGATGTAACAGTCAGTACAAATAAAAGAAGGTAGAACTAAACGCACTAATTTTATTTTATACTTGAATAACAATCTCGGCAGAGTTTCGTTTTATCACGAGCGGTAGTGTGATCACTTTTTTAAAATGGAGCTTGTAAGACACTATATAGCACTACCCCACACCAGAGACATCCGGTGGTTAGAGTGGTGGCTTCCGCTTGGCTTGGCTAGGATTGGCTGGCTTGAATGGTGCGCTGTGATTGGCTGTGGCGGTGTGGCGTAACATTACTCACCAAATAAACATAGCAGCATTTAGGTTCTATTTGACGCTGGTGTTCGTGCTAAAATCATAATATAGATGCGTAGCTCTAGTAAGTATTATAAACTGTGTGACCTTATGCAATTAAATAGTTGAAAAGCGTTTTATTATTATAATAAAACCTCGATAATAAGTAATTTTAGGTGCCTACAATATGTTATAAATTCTTGATTTATGGAATATACTATAAAAATGTGACTGCATTTATAAGTCTTACCATATCCTTACGAAATTCTTATTTTATGTTATCATCCTGTGAGCATCATAAGAAGCGATAAAAGGAAATTAAACGATTACCATTGCCAACCTGCCGGCTAAGCATACCAAGACATCCATCCCCTAGGGGGCAATCTATGCTTTTGTTTAGCAGCTGACCTTTGATAGGCTGTAATGGTAACGGTAAATAGTCGGGTAACGGTAATAAAACCTCTATATTAAGTAATTTTAGTAATGTACTGTTTTTTATTACCAATATATTAAAGTAAAATAAAAAAACATTTTGTGAAAAAGAGATAAGATTTTTTATTTAAATTTAAAATGTAAAATAATAGTAGCGTTTGGTTTCCTTTCGTTATCGTTAATTTCCTTTATGTGATTACACAAATATTGTTATATTTTATATTTATACCTAGCGATCCTCCCCAGCTTCGGACGGGTGAGATCTGGATCTCGACACTCACCTAGCGGGTCCAATTGTGAATATAAACCATCCAAGTACCTACTAAAGCACATACAAAAAATTTCATCACAATCGGCTTGGTCATTTTCGAGTTTTTGCAAGACTAACGGACAGCAATTGTTTTTTATATATAGAAATTCGTAAGGGACAAAAATATTAACCTTTTGACCCGAAAACAATAATTAGAGATCGGCGTTGTCTGCGTTTAAATGGTTTTGTCTCTGAGCGCTATTTATATTAAGCTGAATCGAATTCGCGTTATGTTTGTGAAGCCTGATAAACTAAGATCCCAGGGCTACCAGACGTTACTTATTTTTTTGACGAACGAAATGTGTTAAATTGAGTAGTGTTAGTATGTAGTATGATCGCATGCCTTACTGCTAGCTCGGCCAGAGGGCCATTTTCCAGGTATCAGGTAATCAAGATAAACAAAAACATTGCTCAACTCACGTTAATTTTACCAACTGATTTTACGTATAAGTTAGATAATATCGTTAAAAACAGGCATCAATACTTCCAGACACATTTCGTCGGCAGTTACGCTTTTCAGACGCTTTAAAGCTTTAAAACATATTACACAATTTCACCTACATTCTGAAGCTCCATTTTTATATATGTTAGCCAGACAACTATTTTAAAACGCTTTAGCAGAAGGAACTGATCCAAAGGTTCAATCATTCCCTAAACCCCACAGCGTGACTCACGCCCATGCGCGCGGATAATGCTCACGCGCTCATACCCACAGAGGCATTAAAATTGGGTCTAGGGCATGATTGACCCCTTGAATCTTGGATGGTGAGGTGAGCAATGATTTTACATACCTTGATTACCTAATACCTGGAAAATGGCCCTCTGGCCAAGCTAGCAGTTAGGCAGGCGATCATAGTACATACAAACACTACTCAAGTTTACACATTTCGTTTTTCAGAAAATAAGTGCCGTCTGGTGGCACCGGGATCTTACTCGATAATTAAATTTGCTTTGACTTTAGCCATCGTTAAATACGTTTAGGTTTGCATCGTTAAGGTTTGCTTTTCATCTTCAGTTTTAAATTATTTCCTGTTAAGTAAAATTGAAAAAAAACTCATCAGAAGTGATCCGTAGAATAAAATGCACGTTTTATAGGTAAGAGGATATTTTTCATAGTTGCCAAAATTGACATGAATTTTAAGTAATGCAATTTAAGTAAGTTAATTATTTTCGTAAAAGAAAGTACTTATCACACTGGTATACACTGTTAAACTTACTTAATACATATAATTGATTCATACATATAATTCATGTATTTATTTCGAAAAAATGGGACACATTCGTTGAGGCTACCAATTATCAGAAGAACTATCTACATACATAATTAAGATTATTCTGAAAACTTAGGGTTCGAGTCCTACTCGAACCCTAAGTTTTCATAAAGAATTATTTTTTAAATTTTTCAAAAAAGAAATATCACCAATATTCTGTTATTAAGTTTATATAAATCAAAAAGTGAAATTTTCAGCTTTTGAATTTTTTTATTACTTATGAATTTATCAGTTCTGAGTAACAAAGAAGAAGCAATGAATAAATAATGAAACAGTAGAATTGGAAAGCTCTAATAAGATGATGCTCTCTCAGATCGTTAGGACGGCAATCGCATGAAATAAGATTTTACTGAAACCGAGAAGATCTTACGATTTATGAAAAATATAATATTCATAAGCTTTTACGTAAAACAATATTCTATCATGTCGGATGTCTGACAACGAATAATTGTTTATGGGCAAACAATGTTTTGTTAATCACCTCTTAAATTAGTGGAAACGTTGTCATAGCGATCTAATTACATACCTCATCAACCTGTTTCTGTTATTTAATTAAAGTAAATTTTGTTAAACAATTCTCAAATGTTGAAGTACAAAAAATTAAATGTAACGCAATTTTCTTTGAAATGCAATGAAAGGAAAAGTCCTAAGGATCCTCCGTGTGTTTTCCTTTGTACTTTATTCTAGAATCTAGTAGATAATAGCTATTCAGATAGCAGAGTTTCTTAGTAGTAAAGCAAGCTATAAAAATATAGAATTAAAATATATATCATAACTTCTAATATACGAGTATAAACTGCTTATTGTATTAAACGACAACTTTGTCAAAATATGCATTTAATTGAAAACATATCACCAATAAATAGAACCAACACTTAATAAAACTAAACACAGGTACAATCCTACGGCCTTATCCATTTGTCTTTCTTTCTTCACTAAAGACAATAGAAAGTGATAGATAAATCGGTTACCATTACCGTTACAGCCTATTAAAATACCACTGCAAATCATTATATTTGCCACCTCATAGTTACTGCTCTCCATCTCATGGTGTGTTTTGCCCTATCGTATTTTAAGATAGCCACGAAAAGATGCACTGAGTATATATTCGGACCAAGCCACTAGAGGGCTTAACTTTAGCGATAATTAACGATTATAAGTAAAACTGTGTGACAGGATTATAACGATCTCATTAATTTGTTCTCTATTTAATTAACTGTGTTAGTGATTTTTTTCATATTCATAAAGTTGTTATTGTAGTCTGTAAACTTTAGAGTTAGACATAGACAGAGTGGCAGACATAGGCACAGTAAAGGTAACATAATATGTATATCTGTGGACACATATCCTTTTTCCATACTGCCACAATTTTGACTGGTGTATTTTCTCAATGTTTTACTTAATTTGTTTTTAACGTCTTGAGTTAGTTAATGTCGATTTTTTATTGTTATTTTTTTGCTTATAATCAGCCTCTAGTGCTTTTCTCTTTATATATTTAGCTTCATTTTTATTTTTATATTTTTATAATTTTTACTTATAATTAGAAACACTGTGTTGGCCTGTAATGTAGTTATTTAGTGTATTTTTTATACATTTTTTTCCTGCTTTAATTGATAGTTTAGTTGCTTTGTTCAGGTTTCGTACCCAAACTGTAACTAACGGGACCCTATTATATATATCACCACTCTCCGTCCCTCTGTCCGTTCGTCTGTCAGTAAGCAGGCTGTATCTCATGATCCATAATAGGTAGGCAGTTGCAATTTTCACAGAATATGTATTTCTGTTGCCACTATAACAACAAATAATAAAAAGAAAAATAAATTAATAATTAAAGGGGGCTACCTTACTAGAAACGTGTATTTTTTGCATACATAGTATTAAATCGTGTACGATGGTACCGAACCTTTCATGCGCGAGTCTAACTCGCACTTGGCCGGTATTTTATTGTTATTTAGTACCAACTGATGAGATGATGTTTCATGCTTTATTAATATTTAAGTCATTGTTTTCTGTATTTTGGTTATATTATTATATATATTCGATAAATATATTTATTTAAATCGTGTAATAATATAAATATTTGTATTTTATATACTTTTATATTGGAATTATTATACAATTAACATATCATGTCTGACTTTGACTCATTTTTTTCTATTGAGTCAGAGAGTTCTTTTACATCTTTCGATGATCAGATAAATTATAGTGTGCCCTCTTTAAGTAGCCCATTGAATAACATTTTTCACTCTTGTAATAAAATGTTAAACGTTTGTCATATTTAACGCACAACATTCCCAGCCACTTTTCAGAACTAGAAGCATCTTTCTCCAATAACAATATTCACGCTATCTTAGTTTCATAAACTTGGCTGAAACCGTATTTGCATTCTGCATTGTATCGTCTTCCTGGGTTTGTGCTGATTAGGAATTATTACATAGATAAAGGAAAAGGTGGAGTTGCAATATATCTCCACCCTTTAATAACGAAGCATCGTTATTTGTTATTACTACCTGGGAGCCTTAATTTAAATAAAAATATTAATTATAATAATACTAATGGTTATATTTAATGGTAATGGTTATATCTTTTTGGATTTCTGAATAAACTTTGATATTTATAAACTAATTTGCAGCATACCTATCGCAGACTTTTTTAAAATTTTTCGAATTTAGTCCTTTTTCTAACCTTCAATCTA